TCTTTAAATTCAAATATTGACCTATATAAACCGCAAGATTAAAACTCTGATATTAGGTTTATGGGAGATACGGGTAGTATTGACCCGATTTAATCAATTTTTAAAGAGCAGAAAACGCTACTATCACAAATGGATTCACTCCGAATTTAAATATTATATCACACAGACTGGCAGATAAGTTCGTTAAAAAGTTAGCAGTAGGGACAGAAGTTATCATATTCGGGATCTGAGAGCTTGAACAGTTTTGGTCCGATTATGACAATATTTTAGATATTATTAAGTGTCTAATAGTTTTCAACATAACCGTTACATATAAAGTGGGCGTGGTGACTATCCGGTTTTTACTAATTTTCACACCACTTGAGGAGCTGCTGAAATAAAGTATCCTCAACAAGTTTCAATACTTTTTATAAATTTTCCGCCCACAGGTGCCCTTCACCTCTGCAATCTGTTCTACCAAATTTCAAAAAGCTTAGTTATAGTATTTTGGTTTTCACTTACTTGTATACAATACCGCGTTTCCGATTTGACAAATGAATACGTGCACAAAGCTTAATGACGATATCTCAACGGATGGACGGACAAACAGTTACCAGAACTAACTTAGTACTAGGTGTTAAAAACAACCGTTAGGTGAACAAAACTATTTGACCTTACCTTTAAAGCTAATTTTGTGTAGCAAATTTTATGCCCTACAAAAACTAGGGTGAGTTTTTTTTACGAATATGAGGAGTATTCGTATGAGCAAAGCGACTATTGCATTTCAAAGCTTTTATCTACGGGCATACTTTTTTATTCGTAATAAAATTTCACATTTTCAGTTAGCGAAGAGATTTTTCTCTATGACCTAAAAATGAAGCACCCTAATGTAACTTCTACTACATATAGACTTTTCAGTACCAATAACATGTCTAACGGCACGCTTGTTTAATGTGTATGTTGCCAACATCTGCTAGAAAAGTTTGTCAACTAACGAAAAATGCAAGCATGTATATGTGTGTATGTGCGCTATATAAATATTCAATGTTGAGTGTGTCATGTCAAAGATGTTGGCAAACAAAAATTACCTTTCAAGTGAATGTGTCTGTAACTGAAACTTCAGGGGGCGTTTTCAAAAAGACAATCAACTTGGGAAATAACGGACAACCTTATATGTATACATCTACCTAAATTTATGTGACTACGAATTTCCGGCTGTGCGTAACGTGGCGAGACAAACTAAAATGTAGTTAAGTACTTCAATGAATGCATGTGCATATGCAAGGTTGTATGTGTATGACTTTTGTTCGTGTTACTATTAACGAGGAACTGCATGTAAGTATGTGCGTAAGTATTCCTGTTGCTAGAGCGGTGAATATTTGAAGCATTAGATGTGCATAGGCATAGCCTGATCCCTCCGAGAACATACCAGACAAACAACAGCAAAAAATCAACGAAAAATTCAATTAAACAGCAACATGCGTCGCCGCTTCATTCTATTTACGAGCATATCTTTGATGTTTTAATGAATCTCTGCTTGTGGAACCTGATATACCAATATTAAGCCAAAGACAATTACTGCATGTTAAGAAATTAAGTACCTAAGATATAGAGCAAACTGTAACAGCTCGAAAATAAAGTCAAAGAAATGTGGGAATCTCAGCAGATTATTTCGAATTTCCAAATAAACCATTGACAGTGGCTGCGACTATACCATAAGTATTGATAAAATGTATTATAACTCTTTATATTTATTAATCGTTGAGTATATAGTTACCGACGAAATGTCAGAAGCGCACAACTGGAATTAGTTATTTTATAGGTCAAAAGTCGAACAGTCAGAAATTCTTCCATCAGACGAAGAGCTAACAAAAATTGCTTCGGATCGTGAAAGTCTTCAGAAAACTTCGTATCGGTAAAATCTTTAAAGCACTCAACTAATCAATTTATAATTGCATTGAACTTTGAACTCAGCTTATGGAGCAGTAAGTCTGATACTGAGGCTTTCATATAACAACCTCCCATAAAATTTGGATTTATCTGTAGTACACAAAGTTGTACGCTCGCGGAATAAGCATTGAAGAAGTGGCAAGTTACATTCTCGAACAAAGCTTAAGCTGTTCTCACAACAGTCTTCATAATCAGAACAGATCTGGACTTATATCAGAACAAGCACTACTACAAGCTCGAAAGCATTTCTCAAAATTATGCTCGCAAAAATTACAGAACATAGCAGAATTATGGTAAAGGATATCCATTTGCTAATGAAATGACGCACGGCGTACTCCTATCGATTATTCAATATCTCTCGCAGCAAAAATCTTAACTCTTTAATTTAGAGCAGTTAAAGGTCTTAAAGTAATGGAAGTCTTGTTTTGATGTGTGGTTTTTAATGAGGCAATCATTTTTTCGCAGTTCGCTTTTCTATGGGGTATTACTTGAGTTATACTTAGTTTAGCTTGCCAATTTATAATGAACAGACTTACCTCAGAATAGCGCTTTCAAATCGTGCAAGTTTATTAACAAAATAATGATGCGGACGCTGCGCCCAATATTCAGTCGACAAATTCGCCCAGCAAAGTCCGCAATTCGAGCAACCTTGGATAGATTTGGTGTCAAGTTTACTCTAGTGGATAATACGCATTCTCAGAGATACCGTAAAGTGCGCACCGAGACGCTATGGCTGCTGTGGAACAGTGTATCGAAGAGTGAGAAAGAGGGTGCCACTTTATTGAAAAAGATTTTTGAGAAAAGGTCTTGGCTTACGAACAAGAATTGAAGCCAAACGACCATCAAATGCGTCGCACATTCGGTGAATGGGCTTAAAACCAAATGGCCACCGATCCCGATTTTCGCAAGAAAATTTTGTTCAGTCCATAAAGCTCACTTTTGGTTGAATTAGTACGTTAATAAACAAAATTTCCGCATTTGACGTGATGATAAACCACAAGCCATTATTGAGGCGCCATTACTTCCTCAAAAAGTCTTTGTTTGGTGTGCCGGAGTGGGCAGAGGGAATAATTAGTCCATATTTCTTCAAAACTGAAGCCGGTCACAATGTTACACACACTTTTTCGTGTCTGAATTCGAGAATTCCCTTTGACCTTTGGCTCTATCAACACAGCGGTACATGCCTTACAGCCAATGAAACTATTAATTTATTGAAGGAAACTTTTATTGAGCACATTATCACATGTCGTGAGCCTTTACCGTGGCCTACATGAGAGTGCAATTTAACACCGCTGGACTATTTTTGTGGAGTTATATGAAGCCGCTTCACTACGCAGATATGCCCGAGATGACATTGATATTGACGATATTGCTGACATATGCACAAAGTGGTTGAAAAAGCGGTTACTTGCCTGAAATCAGTTTTGAAACTGCAAACCTTTATCTTTATAATAAAGCTAAATTTTTGGCAATAACATTAAACTATATGCATTTTATTTTTTCTTGAAAACCACATTTCTAAAAAATTACGATTTATTTATTTTGTTTAGGTTCAAGTATCAACACAGATAAAAATTATGTTAGTGTAGGGTATATTAATATTACCCTTTTGTGTGCGTTCTTAAGGGCTTACATTAGGAGCGTTCGAGTGAATTAAACTAAGCGCTCACGATCAGAGAGCGTGCGTCGGCAATCGAGCGAAACGATTAGGAAGTACTGAGGATGAATGATGCTCCTGCGAAAATTTGTCTTAATTCTATTACATTAAGGGAGTGCCATCAAAACCTACCAGGAGCATGTACAATTAAAATAATCACGAGAAATCCGTTACACAAGTAAGACATTTCGTACTCGTACTGTGAAAAGCAATCGCGGTGAACTCAAATAACCCCCAGAAATCAAACATAGACATAAACAACCAATACCCAATACCCCGAATCTTTGTATAAGAAGTCTATGGAACTGATAGCTCTGGATACTAAATAGATTTATTCGAAGGGTGTCATCAGAAAAGTTTAGAGCTTTTTTCACCCAGTTTCCGGTAGGCACAATGATTCAACATTTATCAAAATCTTTTTTTTTTTGTTTTCAAAATTCATGGTTCAAACGGTACAGAATAAAGATGTCCAAAACTTGTCAAGCCAACTCAAACGATTAGAAAATGTTAAGGTTCTTCAGGTTAACTTGTTGACATGGTAGTAGATTTCAACAAGAAATCGGCGTAATGGGAAATACATTAAATAAATAAAAGCGGGTCTAGGCAAGATTATCATGGAAAAGGAAAAATATTTCTAACAAACTTTATAACAAGCCTTAAAAGGATTTAATTCTGGTCCAAAACGAATAAGTAACAATAAAAAACGTTAACTTCGGCTGCACCGCAGCTACAATGCTCTTTACAGGTGCATTTTTTATAGCATAGAAGGGTAAAAAAAGATCTTTAAACTGATTTTGATCGGGTAGATTATATGGAAATTATATGCTGCAATGGTCTGATGTGTAGAATTGCTTCGGACATTGTAGTGATGCATTGAATAGACATCTATCCCAATATTCGTGAAGATCGGTCAGTTTGTATGACATGATAGTTTTGTGTTAGAGTTGTCCGATCTGAACAATTTCTTTTATTATTACATTATTGTCTTAGACAATAATCGCTGCCAATAACTTTTTTTTAGACAATAACTCATGCCAAATTCCTTGATTCAGTTCAGTTTATATGGCAGCTATATGCCATAGTGGTCCGACAAATAATAAGCAGGCTCTTGGTGAGAAAAGAAAGTGCACAAAAATTTAGCATAATAATAGTGATTGTCCACTCAAAAATTGAGGGATTAGTTCGCCTCTGTATACGTCGCAGACAGACGCACAAATTGACTTAGTTTGTCACATTGATCAATTATAAATATATATATTTTGTAGTTCCTTCGACGTTTCCTTTTATGTGTTACAAATTTTGTGTTCAGGGTATAAAAAAACAGAAAAAATTTCAAAGATTATTTTCGAGCATGTTTTGTCCCTATCAATATTTTCTAGATTGTAAATTATTTTATTCTTCAAATACTACTCACCTTCAGTGTTACACCGCCCAAATCATATTCCCGATTAAAAAGATCCTCAACGGTAGCACGATATTTGTCCGTGTAGGTTTTGAAGAGGAAACGTTTGATAATGGAACTTTTGCCCACACCAGCTCCACCCAGGATAACCAGTCTTATGCGTTCCAAATCGGCCATTATGAATGCGGCTGATAACGGCAACTGCAGATGTTCGGCGAATGGACGACCAACAGTCAAAAGTTACTCTATAAGCAGTAAGCTTGTTGGCTGAGTTTAAGTGAGCTTATGTTTTTAAAGTTTTGTAAAACGTTCGTTAAACGTCGCTTAGGGCTTAATAACTGCAAAGTTTCACATTTAGATTACTTTTATTATATTATTTGATTTTCTTGCTTCAAGCGAAGGCAAATAAAGCCGGGATTACCGTTAATTTTATGCCAAAGCGCTCGAAGTGAGATTTTATTCCTAAAGCTCGCTGGTTGATTAGAGAAAGGTGAATTTAAAGCTTTTTACCCAATGTAACACCTCATACTACACTTAGTGATGTGCACACTACAAAAACATCAGTAAAAAATATTTTTCAGAAATCTTTAACTGTTACCAGCACAGACAGTTAAAAAATTGTTTTAAAGGGCTTAATGGGCTTTTGCTGCACTCTTAATTTGGGCTTAATACTTTTTCATTACATTATGTACTCATAACTTCGAAATGAGAGATGGGAGTAGATGTTACAGATGCGCGCAAATTTAAATATGCTTTTGCTTCCGATTTATTTCCTTTACCGCTCTTTGTCTACCCACTTTTTTTCTTAGAAAGTTATCTATTCTTGTGCACTTGTTGTTGTTGTCAATTGTCAGTTCGTCTATTTATGTATTGTAGCGGTACCACATGCCATCAGCGTCGTCTTCCACTCTCTTTTTTCACACTTCTTACAAGTGCCTTCTTTATCAGCAGAAACTGTGGGTTGTCTATTCTTCTTCTCTTTTCTCTGTATTCTGTATTTATTGCTTATTTAACATATGCGCTCGTATTAGTTTCGTATTTTATTGGTTACAAGTTGTCGTTTGCCTTTGTTAATGTGTGTAACAAGATGCCATTATGCCATTGTGTGGTGAAGAATAAGCTGAAAAGATAAATAAGAGGAAAGTAGTAAGCAAATTTCCAAAGGAATTTAATGGCATGAAAAAAAAGTTAGAGGAGTTAGGAATGTAATATTTACAAGTTTCATTATATAAAATGCTACCAGACCCATAATTTAGACATATTTTGGTAATGAAAAAATCCTGCTATAAATAGTATATTTGTAAAATATTTCAACACCAGCGCAATCCAGTGGGCATATTTTTATTCTATTCTATTACAAAATATATTTGAATACTATAGATAAATAAAGTCGATTCAACTGAACGATATCTATAAATATATTGACCTTAGCTCCACCTAACGAGCATTCTCGTCACGCTGATCATTTATGCATATACTTGTACTTTATATGGTCACTAATGTTTCCATTTGAGAGTTACAAACATTGTGGTAATGTTAATATAATCTGTTCAGGGTATAAAAATACGACAATGTAGCAATAATTCGAACGTATCTGGGCAAACAAGAGGCCCTTCATCCGGTTCTGTATCATCCTAAATCAAAAAATCAAAGTTCACAAGTAACGACGAGAGGGTCTTTCAAAATATTAATTTTTAATTTTTTTGGAGCATTTTGATGGCAAAATAGGCACATTTGTTGTTGTAAAATAAAAATTATTAACAAGTTTAAATATAACTCTCCGATACAGAAATAGCGCTCAAAACGTGAGTTGCGTTTTATCGTCGTTATTAAAACGGTTATAAGACAGATGCGACAATACTTGTAACTTCGACAATTTAACTATGATCAACACAATATTCATGAGGTATTACGAATTAATTTAAGACAAAAACCAAACTCTAAAAAATAGTTTTTAAACCCTACTCCCACCTTAATTAAGATTCGGTCAGGCATATTGTGCGAAGAATTGTTGACCAGAGTCAAAACTTTGAAGTTATAAACAGTTTACTCTACCCTTGAAAAAAAAATTAGTTCGGAAAGCATTATCCTTTTTGTGATACAATTATGAATCATTTGGGTAGGGGGTAGTTCTGGTTAAAAAGCAAAGTTGTCACTGCTAAATATCGGATATGATAAATTTTGATTACGATAAAGAAAAAAAGAAGATTTCTGTGGGAAAAACAATGTGAATAAAGGGGCAGCGCTATGGGCGAATCAAGAAGAAATAAATATAAGAAAATTCAGGTTTTTTAAGCTCAACAAAATTAAAATTCAAGCTTTATTGATTTTATAATATTGGAATTCAACGGTACAAAGTTTGAACTCTCTGAAAGAAACTTTAGCTTTAATTGGTTTGTTAATTTTTTTTGATGCAGAAGAAGCAGGTCGTCACATTCTGTAGGTGACGTCATAGTGGAGTTTTTTTTAGCTACATCAGTTTCCTTATTAACATAACATGGGCTAATAATGACACTGGCCTGAAGTTCACACCAAATACTACATTTTTGCCAAACAATTTTTACGGATTCTTTGAAGAAGTGTTTTGGAGAGTCCAATTTATTATGAACACAAGTATTTGAGTGGCAAAAAGTATTAGATTATATGAAGGTAGTGAAGTCATCGTAAACGTCGAGTAAGATGGCAAAAAGTGCAAAAATGAACGACTCCGAAAAAACCGAAATTCGCTGAAAGCCATCTCAGTCGAAGCATGTAAGAAATGTATGGGAAATTAGATTATTAGTAAAATTAAGTGTTTTTTCTCAGTCTTGGTGAAATCGGATCAAATATTTAATAAAGAGGCACCTTATTGAACTGTATTTTTCTGAAGAAATGAACGGCTGCAGGCTAACAACATTTAATTGCTCAAGGGGAAAACTTTTGAACCAAAACTAATCGGTTTAATAGCTATTTCTGATATATGCATACTCCGAATACAATTCTGGCAAGAAAATCATTATTATGGAAATTAAGAGGATCTTTGTTATGCCCTCCAAAAGAATGAAACATATCAAAATTTAATGTGAAGCGCTAAGAAATAAACAATAGTAATGTTACATTACTCTACTAATTATGATAAATGTATGTACTCAAAGTATGTTCAAGTAGCGCTGCTCAGCCAATTAATGGTTAACACGCTACTGCTTTGGCTACGAAAATATTTTAGTCTAGGAATGAGAGCACCTTAAACCTGATTGATATGAGAATAATATATACCTTCTAGTTTATATAGTGTAAAACTATATGTAAATGAAGTGAGTGTAAGTCTATATATTTGCGTATCTTCTCCGTCTTGGTCCGCATCAGCTTGAAATCGACACATTCATACACACTGATAATTAACAGGACGCCCAGCTTAACGCTTAGAGCTATAATAGCTCTCTAAGTATATAAGAAACTATCCATGAGCCTCTTATAATGGCAAATATTTATCTTTAATCTATTTAATAAATTGAATGACGCTCTCACACTGCACGAAGGGTTGTTATTCAATACATACATACATATACATATACCTATATGGTATATGGGAAATTTCAATATTACGAAATTTCTATTTACTGTGAGCTGGCTTTCGTAGTTCGGTCTATGTTTGTCTTATAATACTTTTTTATATTACACTTGAGTTTAATTAGCAAACACGAGTTTAACTAGTAAAGATGAGTTTAAGATTTTATGAGTAAAATATTAAAAGTTATGTAAATTCCTTGAGTAATTTATGAAACTCTAAATAAAAAACTGAAAAAATTAAAGCCACCAACCCAACCTTAAATTCGAGTTTTCCACTATAACATGTAATGAGTACTGCGTCGAAAAGTGGTTTCAGGAGTTTGTTGAATTAAGATATTTTTAAAGTATCTTCTGTGTTTGTAAGTAATGTGTAATACTACTTACTGGACAGCGTAGAACGCCGGTCCGTTGTGGTGCTTAAAATCATAAATTGTATAAGATGGCTAATGTCAGTTTCGGCTATGTCTACTACTAGCGCAAGTAGTCCAGTAGATCTCCAGTGTTTTACTCTACGCCAGAAAAATCTCACAGTCGCATAGGAACTGGTCGTCGACCAACACGTGCTAAGCGCACACAAGATCCATAGGTCTAAACTTTTTTTCTAGCTTCGAACCGTGCATGAAAAAGCTTACTGAGCCTCTTCTACAGCGCCATCTACCCATCCACATGTCCCTTGTCGGTATGTGAGCAGAGAAAAAGACATCGTGAGTAGCTTTTTCGGCGCAGTGGTCCAAGTTTTCAGTTTAAAAACATCATATTTAGTGAGCCTTCTTCGCTAAAATTCCTCTACAGCAATATTAAGCAACCGATGCCTTCTTTACTCGCTCCATAAAAGCTTACTATCGAGGATAAACCCCAGGTATTTCAAATTTTTAACAGGTTGAAGGTGTGAGCCACCTTATGTATTATTTTGGATGAAACAGGAGCTGAAATTTAAGGCGTGGCTTCAGAAAAATTGGAACTTTTGAGAACTAAGAGAAAGAGTTTTCTTTTTTGAAAATGCTTCCGCTTCATCGGACAGGTGACCGTAAATCAATTTTGAAAATATGCCGATAAAGAATTAGACTTAAAGAGAAATATTTACGTGTACAGAGCGATTCAATGCAACGAGGCTTTGGTCTTTATAATCTCCAGAATGTCAAATAAACATTGTTTGGAAAAATTTGACAATTGTATGAATAATGCAAAATTTATAACCAGGTCTTTAAATCTGTACTTCGGTATGAAGTTTAAAATGACTTTGAAGACATAAAGCCTAATTTCTCACAATATTAAATGATAACTGTTTCTTGCAATGTTTGGCAAAAAATTGTGATGCTTGTGCTTTCCAATTACGAAATCTTTCCGAGATACGAGCGGTTAAAAATAATTTCTATAAATGTATTGGCGCTAATATATAAGTTTATGCAGTGGCATATATTTACATGAGTTTCTATATAAATACAGTTTTATGAAAGCTCAACTTTAATAATGCAAATAATTGCGAATAAATAACAATTTATATACTCACTCTGTTAATACACTAGGATTATTTATTTCGCGTACCTACAAACAAATAGATATGTCAGTAAATATACACTGCTGCAAATATATAAAATATTATGGCGATTATTTGCGCACAACTAATTATCCAATTAACGTCAAATGTTTATAGCTTATATAATCGTAGTAAATTAGAAAGTGAAAATATCGCGACAATATCATTGAAATTTATTAGCTTTTTATCGAAATTGATAATTGCGTTTATTATTGTGCACATATTCTGAACAGTCATGAAATGAATTATAGAGAAGTCAGCTAATCTAACCAACAAATATTGCAGTACTTTATTCGAATATTTAGAAGAGATTAGCCGATGCTCTCTGCTCTCTTACACCTTGTGTGAGCAACGCTTAATAGCTGTTGAATGACTTCAGGGATATAACTATTATCAATATCGGTGAGTGGTCAGAAGAGTCAAAACGGAAAAATAAAACCAAGTTCGTAGCAGTGCACACGGTTTCCCTCCATCAAACTGACGTGTGCTCTTGCTGACCTTAAAAACGTATGCAGCCAATATCGCATTAGGTAACTACCAAAACTGCTAAATTATATTGTCTAATCATTAAATTACAAGTTTAATAAGGAATAATAAAAAAATGTTTTACTGATCAAATTGCTGAATTAGTTTTAAATTGCTAGTGAGGAAGGTTTTAGATCGAAGCATCGATTAATATCTCCAAAGCTACCACGCTTAATTTCCTAGCAACAATAATAATAATGGAAATGTTTCTCTCTCTTCTTTTAGTTCTCCCTAAATCCCTAAAGTGATAAATAAATTGATCATTAACGCTTGTCAAAATACCGGGTTAAGAGCGACTAAACGAGAGGTTCGTGATGAATTCGTATTTAAAGAGGTTTATATTTTTGGAATAATTGGAATTAATAACCAATTATGTGCAAAAATGGGAAAAGAACTATAAACCGCCTAATAAATCAATAATAATAGCTTTTGAACTTTGGCAAACAAAGTCGAAAACTTACCAAAAAATTTTGTATATACGAAACTAGAATTAACCTTAAATTAAAGCT